TTATTTAAAATAATTTAAAATATCTGCTGTTATATTTAATGGCGTGTGAATTTATATTTTATGTTACTACACTAATTTAAAATGTTTAATTATTCTAGGCTGTAAAATTGTAAATGGTGCTCCAGCGTATTCAAATTTGCATAACAAAATATTTCAACTAGCTGATATATTTTGTGTTAATGAATCTGAAGCAGAAATATATACAAATGAAATAATAAAAATTAATAGTATTGAGACAGCTAATCAAGCTTTATTTTTACTTTTGAAACAAGGATGTAATACTGTTATCATAACATTAGGATCATTAGGTGCTGTTTTTGCTTCAAAAAATAACTCTGAACCTCAATGGGTCCATTCACCAAAAGTTACTAACCCTATTGATACTACTGCAAGTTCAACTCGTAAATTATTCAATAATAATGGTGGAACTAAAATATTGTTTTTTTTTAAATTTTACTCTAAAATTACTAAATATTTTACTATAATTTTGTAAATAAACTTTCGAGCATTAAAAATCATCCAATTAGAAAATTAATTAGTTTTTAGTTTTAGTTGTTATAGAAATGGGCAAGACCTATAGGTCCATTGTGTACACCTCCTACCGAATTATATAAATTTAGTTTCTTCACATAAATGTTTACACTGAAGTTATGTTGCTATTGTTGAATACCTAAGACTAAATGCAGGATGTCCTTCTAGGCCGCACCTTTATGTATTCAAAGAGTCCTGTCTCTCTAGCAAACTTAAATATTTTTTTGTGTTTTAGGTTTTTGATATCTTCTTTTCTAGGAAAAGATTTTTCCAAATGTTTAGATATTAATGTGGCCAAGTTATAACATTCACACTTAATGTGAAATGAATCTTCCTCTTCTTTTCGACACTTTCTGCACAGTGGTGATTCTATCACTTCCATTGTATAGAAATATTTAAGCAGATGACCATGTCCTATTAGTAGTCCAGTAAAAGTACACATTTGATATCTAATCATGTTATTAAAATCCCTCAGTAACTTGATAATACCATATTTTCTTGTGTTCTCTACACCAGTAGAGAATCTGGGTAGTACTTTGAAGGGTTGCTCTGTGAGTCTTACCACTTGTTCTGGTACAACATAGGTGTTTTCTGCACCTTTCCTTGCTAGAAAGTCTGCTTTTAAATTACCAGTCACAACACTGTGTCCTGATACCTATCCCATTGTAAATTTATTAAATTTTGCTAGTGATTCTAAAGTTTCCCTGCATTCAAGGACTAGCCTTGAATTCACCTGGTTATTACTAAGTGTCTTCAGAGCAGCTTGACTATTACTTAGGATAATTATGTAACTTTTCTTGAATACTAATAGGTTCTGGGCTTCTCCTAGTATTGCCATTATCTCTACTTAAAACACAGAGGGTATTGTTTCCATTGACATGCTGATATTTATGGTTTTAATCCTCAAATGCTATAACCTTTCCTAATTTCTTGGAGCTGTCTGTATACATTACAAACCCTCCTTTCTTAGTCTGGTGGTAAATTAGTTAATTACTAATTTTCATTTATTACTGTAGTTTAGGATTTGTTATCAACTTATCATTTTATTTTTTAGATAGCTGTTTAATGTGTTATATAACATGTAGGTTATTATGTATGTTTTAAATCTATAGAGTAATAAATAATTGTAGTTTACCCTATATACTTTAGCTATAATTCATTTGGCTGAGGTTAATTTGAAAAATATTTATATTCAACTTTTACTATTGTTACAGTTAATTTATGTCTAGATCAGACAACCCAACTATAAAATATAAATGTAAATTTACATCACGTAATATAAATACTATGTATATATATATTTTTTTTAAAAAAGTCAATAAGCACCAATGAATACTTTACTTCCACCTATGTTAAATTATTAAATAATACCTTTCAATTATTGAAATGAAATTTAATTTCAGGGTGCTGGAGATGCCTTTATAGGAGCTTTAGCATATTTTATTGTCCATAAGCCAAATTTAGATTTGTATGAAAAAATTAAGAGAGCATGTACAATAGCTTCTATTACAGTGCAACAAAAAGGTACCCAAAAAAGTTTTCCCAATAGAAATACTTTACCAAAATATTTGTTTGATTAAATTAAAATTTTTCATTCTATTATAATATTCAAATTTGTGTAACTTAATACTTATAATAATTCTTTATAAATTAGCTTATTTAAAATGTTACGGTAGTATACCATGTAAAATATTTTTATTGTTACATTTTTAATTCAATAATTTTGATGATATATATGTTATTAATATAGAATAAATGTAAAAAAAATTTATTTTACCTTTTATTGCTTATTTAGTTATTTTTGGCTTTAGAACTTTTAGTTTTTCTATGGTCATTTGGATTACCTATAAACTACTGTAACGCATTATTTGAGGGGCCCACATGAATTTAGACCTTAAATGTTTATAAATCTAAAACACAATTTTAATAGTATCTAAGGGGTCAGAAACTTAAGTTTAGGATTGAAGATATTATTTATTTGTTTTAATTTTATAATGCACATATTCAATGTTTAATTTTGTGTAAATATTTTATCATTAATTAACCCTCAACTTTTGATCTACCATTGAGTATTGAGAAATATTCAGTGGTTATAATATATATTCATTTACTATATGTAGTATTAGTTTTGAAAATAAAGGGGCAGACTATCCATTTTTAATTTTGTGTACCAGTACTAGATTCTAAGTGATTTCTCAATAAAAAATTATCATCAAATTTTGTACTTAGTTTTTTAACTATGCACAGTTATGATTTCATAAAACTCACCCCAAAAATATTAATTGAGCTTATGCAGCTTTTATAATGGTCATCCAATAATTATTTTTTAAATTTTAACAATTGGTCACAAATTATAAGTATATGAAAAGAACAAAGGATGGCCAACTTGTTATTCAACAAGTTGTAAACTTATAAAACTATTGAAATACTAGTAATCAAAAGAATACTTTTTGAACGTATTTGTATTTAGAATATAAAATACTTTTTAATGTAACATGCGTTTAGAGTCTTATTTAAGAATTTTATACCATAGGCAATTAAGAAAATCTTAACCAAAATTTCCTTAACAATATATTTTTGAAAAAAAATATCAATGAATTATGCACTTTTATCATTAAAAGTACGCATAAAAAAACATTCATTCGTAGACATAGTTTCATTATTTTTTTTATAAACTTTTCATAGTAATAATCGTAATTTTATATCATTTTATTAATACTTATATAAATTCTGTAAGAAAAAATGAGTAATGAAAATGTTGAGAAAATCAAAAAAACTCTTTATTTTAGTATTTGAATACGTATTCTGAATACATTTAGCCTGCTGTATTTAAATAGGTATTCAATAAACATTTTAAAAGTATCTTAGACAAGTTGTAGCTAACATCTCGAAAAACAGTTCAATATTTTAAAAATAATACATATTTAGAGAATATATGCAAAATATGGAATTGTAAACTTTCATTAGTTATATCAAATTAATTTAATCACAATTATGTTATTAGAACTTTATCGTGCATTTAGTATTTTTATTGATATCTAACTAAGTAATAAACAATTAATTTACAAAAAACTTCATAAAATTAAAGAGGATTTGCAATTTATAAATTCACATTGTTTTATTTTCATTTGGTTACAGTTCCTAAATATATAACAGATTGATAAATAATAATAAAGTGATTTTTTAGCTTCGATGCGAACCTGAGAAGGTATTGGTTTTACTATGTGTTTTTTTTTTGTGTCTGTTACCTCTTTTTCTCAGCTTTTCATCGAACGGATTTCTTTCAACGATACGTCAAAAGATCACAAATCGTATCTAGTCGAAGACATTACCCTCTAAAATTGAAAAAA